GGCCCCGGGCCCAGCAGCCACGCACAGGCCTGGTGGCCACGCACAGGCCCGGGGGCCACGCCAGGCCCGGAGGCCACATGCCAGCCCTGGAGAGGCAGCGGAACACAGAGCAGAGCCCCAGCCACGCCACAAATTTTTTAAATAATAAGTAAAAATTGAATAATTCTTTAAAAACAAGAAACTATGACCAAGAGAAGTGAGAGCACTGGCACGAGCGTTAGCTGGAGAAGACGAGTTGTTGTAGTGAGTCATATTGTGTGAGGTGAGAGCAGTGCGTGCAGACCGAGGTGCAGAGGTCTCAGTCATCCAGGGTGCCGGCACTAGGGTAAGCTCCCTGTGAGGGCTCAGTGCCCTCCTCCACACACTGGAGTAAGCAAAGTCTAGGTGAGATTGTCACCACCCGCAGCTCCAAAAACGAAGTGAGACATATGAAGAAATATGATAGGAAACATTCCCTCCATGATCATGAGAGAGAGAGAAGGGGACCTTGTTGCCAGTCCCAGATCCTTGTTCTGAAGGGCTGGGAAGGTAAATGAGATACGAGGTCTTTTTTTTGAGTTCTGTCTGGCAGCAATACCTTCTCCATTCACAGCCGAGGAAGATAATAATCCCTCATATGCTGAGGTTGGCCCTGCTTTAAGAACGTAGGGTTGGAGACCAACAGATGGCATAATGGTTACATAGCTGGACTCACACGTAGTCGACTGTGGTTCAAGTTTGAGACCTGGTGGCTTAAAACTCATGCATGTGCTTGGGTACCCAGAATCCCGAGAGGAGAATGGAGGAGAAGGGATTGCAACATGGCCATCCCCCTGGGGGTGATATCTCACTTTCTGTCTCTGTCTCTCTGGTGAGCACCTGTGCACTATAGCAAAGATCTCTCTTACAAAAAAAAGAAAAAAAAAGAATATAGGGTTGAAATAAAGATAAAATTAATGCTAAGGATGCAAAGAACATTAAAAACTGAAGGCCATGCTTGGGGTCACCCACACTGGAAGCTGGATAGATAAGATCACTGAGGGTGAGTGAGTGGACATGAAGCGATGGAAACAGAGACTTAGGTAGAGCCCCAGGTAACGCCCACGTGTAATTGCAAATCTGGAGGACCATGGGAGAAACTGGGGAGCAATTAGATAGAAACTCTGGGGGGGTTCTGGAGGAAGCACATGGAAGGCAAGCAGGCACCAGGAAGGTAGCTCTGGGCGGGCGAGTGAGTGGGAACCCGTCACCTGTGTCTTTTCTCCCCACAGGGAATCACTTCCGTCACCGCCATCACAGCACTCTACTTCCTCTCCCGGAGAATCCCCCTGCCTCGAAGGGCCAAAGTAGCAGCAGTGACTCTGCTGGCTTTGGCGTATACACAGGTAATAAGCCGCTTCTTTTTGGTCTGATGGTATCCCCAGAATAAAGTGAAAAAAAAAGGCCTGGCCAGGGCCAGCAGGTGGCATAGCGATTAAGGTGCTATACTCGCACATGGCAGACTGTGCTTCGAGCCCAGGACCTGGTGGCTTAAACCGCACTGGGCGCATGTGCGTGCATGGCTAAAATCCCAGGAAGAGAATGAAGAAGGGATTTTGGCGTGGCCATCCCCCTTGAGGGGTGGTTTCTCACTTTCCCTCTCTGTCTCTCTCCAGCAGAGCACATGTATCCTTTGCCAAAAACCAAAATAAATGAATAGATAGATAGATGGACAGACAAACTGAGTGGGCTAGCCCTGTAGTGCAGTGGTTAAGCACAGCCGGATCCCACCTGCTGACTGCTGTTCTAATCCTAGCCCTGACAGCTGGAAAAACAAATAGGCATATGTGTGGTTAGGCCCCAAATCCTGAAGGGAAGGAGAATGGAGGAAAAGGGATTGGGGCATGACCACACCTCATTGGGAGGTGCTTTCTCTCTCCTTTTCTCTTTCTTGCTCTCTGGTAAACACACATACCCCCTCTGGCAATAAAAAAATAAACACCGAGTACCATTTTTTACCTTTCGAATTAGAAACAAATTTTAAAAAGAAAAAAAGGATAATCAGGTATTGACTTGGGTATCAGAAAATGAATACCTTCAGGTATTTTAAGTGTTACATGGGTAACCGTTCAGCCCAGCAGATTAACTTCCTAGTGTGTCCTCTAAAATATTCTACTACAAAAAGGTTTGGATAAAGAAATTCGTGGTAGAATTGTGACAGTGCAAATTTAAGGGTCACTTGGTGACGTGGTGTTTAAGTGGCTGGATCCCAAATAACTGACTGCGTGGTTTGAGTCTTGGACCCTGTGGCTTGAGAAGCACGCCAGGTATGTGTGCCCAAATTTCCCAGAGGAGGTAGAAATGGAGGAAAAGGGATCGTGGTGGAAGCATTCCCATGAGGAGTGTTTTCTCACTATCCCTCCCTCTCTGTCTGTCTCTGACAAGTGCATGTACCCTCTGGCAAAAAAATAAAATTTTTAAAAAGTGTGTTGTTTAAAATTAAAAAATTGGAAACAAATAAATAAATATATCTATAATTGTGGAATGCTGTGTTGCAGTTTAAAATAATAAAACTTCAGGACTAGCAGATGGACCAATGCCTGTGTTGCTGGACTGCCTCGTAGTTGACCATGGTTTGAGTCCCAGATCCAGCAGCTTCAACTCAAATTCACACCAGGTGCATGTGCATGCGTGCCCAAAATCCCAAGAGGAGAACGTAGGAAAAGGGATTGCAGCATGGCCATCTGATTTCTTGCTTTCTGTCTGTCTGTCTTTTTCTCTCTCTCTGTCTCTCTGGCAAGTGGCACACACCCTATAGCCAAAAACCTTTGATAAATAGAATTTTAAAATGGTATGTGTAAAAGAATAAGAAAAATTGGAAACAACCTAAATAAATAAATAAATATGATATATCTATAATTGTGGGATAGTGTATGGCAGTTTAAAATAATAAAACTTCAGGACCAGCAGTTAGCATAATGGCTATGTCGCTGGACTACCATGAAGTCGACCGCGGTTCGCGTCCCGGACCCAGTGGCTTAAAACTCACGCCGAACAATGGAGGAGAAGGGATTGTGGCGTGGCCATCCCCCGGGGGGGTGATTTGTCGCTTTCTTTCTCTCTGTCTGTCTCTATCTTCTCTATCTGGTGAGCCGCACCACCCTATAGCAAAAACCTCTCAAAAATAATAATAATAATAATAATAATAATAATAAAACTTCAGGACTAGCCAGTGGTGTAATGATGTTGCTAGATTCCCTCGTAGTGAACCACAGTTCGAGTCTCAGTGCTGGCAGCTTAAAACTCAGCACCAGGCTGGTGTGTGTGTGCCCCAAATCCCAAGAATGGAGGAGTAGGGATTATGGCATGACCATTTCCCTTGGGGGGTGATTTCTCACTGTCTCTCTCTCTTTTACTCTCTGTCTCTCTCTCTCTCTCACTCTCTGTCTCTCTGGTGAGTGTATATACCCTATAGCCAAAAAAAAAAAAAATTGAAAGAAAACTCATGCCAGGTGCATGTGTGTGCATGTCCAAAATTCTAAGAGGAGAATGGAAAAGGAATGCAATGTGGCCATCCCCCCCGGGAAGCTTTCTGTCTGTCTCTGTTGAGTGCACGTCCTCTATAGCAGAAATCTCTCTAAAATAATAATAATAAAACTTCAAGACATCTATGATACAGTAATATAAAAGTACAAAACTGTTTCTCTATGAATAGTTATATAAAAAAGGTTATATAATATATATACTAAAGGTTCCCAGAACTCCAAATGTATAGAAACTGGATTACCAGTGACTGCCTTTGGGGAACTGTGGGATGAGGTGAAGGCTATTAAAGGGAATTTTAGGTTTATCTTGTTTGAATTTCTCTCATTGTAAGTACACTTGCTTGTGAAATTAAGATGTGCATTTGCAGTGTTCTGATGGGAGAGCGTGGAGGCTTGTCTCCCGCTCACCCAGGTCTGAGTTTACGACCACTGCCTTTCCTGTGGCTTTCCTCCTTCCCGGCAGGCGGCCTTGGGCATTAGCACGCTGCTGCTCTACGTTCCAACCCCGTTGGCTGCCACTCACCAGTCGGGCTCCTTGGCTCTGCTCAGCGCTGCCCTTTGGCTCATGAGTGAACTCCGAAGAGTACCAAAATAATTCTCAGAGGATCAGCGTCCTAGGCCTGAAACTGCTCTTGAGAGCCCGTGGGAGAGCACCACGACTTTTCTACAAGGATGACTTTGGCATAACAGGTTTCCAAACTGATCAAGTTATTTACAAAACTGTGCCTGTTTTGAGATCATTGGTGGATCCAGAATGTCATTCCTGGGGGCCAGCAGGTAGCATAGTGGGTGAGGTGCTGGACTCACATAAGGCTGACCACAGTTCTAGTCTTGGGCCTGGCAGCTTGAAAATCATACCAGGTACGTGTGCATGCCTGCCGCAAATCCCAAGAGAATAGAGAAGGGATTGCGGTGTGGCCATACCCACTGGGAGGATTTCTCACTTTCCCTTTGACTGTTTCTCTCGGTCTGTCTCCTCTTTGGCGAGCACACATGCCCTATGGCAAAAATGTTTACACTAGCAGGTGGCAGGTGGCATGATGGTTAGGGGTGCTAGACTCCCACGTGGCTGACAGCAGTTCCAGTCCTGGACCTGGCAGCTTGCTTTCTCACTCCTCTCCCCCCCCCACTCTCTCTCTGATGGTTGAATTAAAATAAGTAAATAAAGTTAAATAAAATAACTATTTTTTTAAAATTCTACTTTAAAGAAATGTGTATACTAAAGTTTCCCTTTTTAAACCTGTTACTTTTCTCATTTAAAGTCAGGTTTAGTTTGATGCATTGCTTCGTTTTGGGCTGTCTCATGTCTCTGTGTTGACAATGCTTGGTTCTGTGTGCACTGTTCCTGTCGCCTTGTCTTCTCGAGTCCTGAACTCTACCTACATAGAATTCTTTATGATTCTCATTGCTGCCAGGTGAAGATATAAAGGGCTCGCACGCCCCAAAGTAGCCTCCAGGCTTCACCAAAAAAGAGCTAATTTTTTCTAATATCCTGATTTTCAAAAATGGGAAAATCGTAGATCTTGACAAGTGTGATGTATATTTGCAGCAAAATGGTTTACAAGTACTTGGAAAAGAAAGCAATCGCTGAGACCTCACATGGATTCGTCAGGCCCTACCCCGTTCCTTTTTTGATGAGTGCTATTGCATCGCTAGGTCAGAGGGGTGGAGTAGAGACTAAGGTGGTCCCTGAGCTGACTTTCTGGCAGCCCGTGAGCCAGGAAAATGGTGCAGTACATGGGCCCCTATTCCGACATTTCCAGCACATCGGTGAGTACTGAGTTGTGGGTTTCGGTCTTTGTTGGTATTTCACAGGGCTCTTACCTGTACTCTAAATTGGTGGTTGGATAAAGGCACCTGAAACGACAGACCTGAGGATGAAGCAGCCTAACATGGCCAACATAATAGATGACAGTGGTGACGCCAAACAGTCCCGGAGTGATCCCAGCAACTTGAAGTCAATCAAGTCGCAACCTCATTTAAATTAGGTTTTTAACTGGGGTGAAGAAACCTGACCTGTCATTTCATATAATAAAGGCTGGGGATTTCAGGTGTTCCCAGGTTCCACAGGAACCAACAGTGTTGTTATCACACGGTAACAGAAAAATTAAGGTGCTTCAGTGTTATTAATAGACGTGTCATGGCCATAGTCAGCACTCCCCTGGGGGATTGCGTTTCACTGGAACCACGTTGAGGCAGGACATTCACCATTAGGTATGTACCCAGAGGAGGAAGCCAGGATGGTGAGGGGTCCAGACCCCTGTCACACGGAGCCGTGGAAGGAGCATCTGGAGAAAGAGCAAGATTCTAGCTCTTGAGGAGTT